AAGGCTCAACTGTAAGTATCAATTCAGTCCATTCCTCCAGAGAGAATGTGGGAAAGAGATTCCATCCTCAAGACACAAGCCCTGCACTGGGCACAGAAACAAGCACCCACTCTGCTGTGCCTGGGTCCACACCTCTGCCAGCTGGAGGTCACACCAGCACGCTTGTGCATGGGGATCCTGCTTGGGCAGCATCCCCAGGTGTACTTTCCAAAAGCCCGGAACCACAGGGAGGGTTGGGAAGACAGCATGCTAGCACTGGGCAGGACAGCCTCAGAGCTTGCAAATGACCCACGGCCCAGCTCAGCTGGAGATACCTGCCCTCTCCCACACTGAGCCAAAGGACAGCAGGAAGAGAGGACAAAAGCTAACCAGTAAGCCAGAAAGAGCTAAAAGTTCAGTAAGCTCACCCCCACTACTAAGAGCCCTCTCTCAGCCCTAGCAAGGTGACAGCCACTGCTTACAGATCTCCAGTGACACGCGGGGCCTCCAGAGCAGCCCAGTACACCTGTGGGTGGCTCAATCCTCCATGCAACCCTTCCCTTACTCCCTACAGCCCCCACTCCGGCCACAGCCCAGTTCTGAGTCCACAAGGAACATGCCTCACCCCTCTCTCCTGGGCTGAAGCCCCTCACCTCTACTCTCTCCCCCTCCCTGCTTCCTGACCTCAAGCTCCCCTTAGCAACAGCACATGGCCTGCTCCCAGGACTCAGAGACCCAGCCCACATTACACGACGTCACAGCCTACAAGACATCCCTTCGGCTGCAGGAACACCTCGGTGACCATATTTCCCTCAACACTTTTCCTCTCAGACCTGCACACTCAGGCCGGCCAAAGACATATCCAGCGCACAGCCCATCAAGGAAACGTGAGGTGGGGGCTGAAATTACATACTCAAGCTGCAGAATACAATGGCCAGACGCTGCTGGCCGGCTAAAAACACAATGACACTAACAAATAAAACAACCTCGTTAGCTCAACTTTTACAAATAGGATTTCTCTTATAGACAGATTTGAAAGCTGCTCGTTTCTTAACTATTTCTGAAGTCCAGAATCACCATGGGTCCACACAACAGCCCTCAGGGGATTCAAATGACAAAATGTGATTTCACTGCAAACAGCAGCCAGCTCTGCCCCTGGTCCTCAAA